AAGTACGTTGCTATGATTTGGATATTGAAATCATTAATAAGCAACATATTAGTGAGAAAATAAAGAAGGATCTCATAAAAAAGAACTTGGAAATGAAGAAAAGTCTACCATTATCTCAAATGATATTTTATACTGACAGATTCTTTAAGAGAAAGAGTATACCTATTTTGAATGAACTAGTCAAGATAGAAGCTAGCTAGGTACAAGTTAATAAGAACAAAAGCCAAAAGATAAATGAGGGCTTCTTCAGAGCAAGAAACTGGCCTTCAATGACAAAAGCAGAATTGCTCAGAATTTAGTATGTACTCTTTTTGGTACCAAGAAAAAGAAATGTAAAAATTTACACAGATAGTGTGATAATAATAGAAAGTATAGAAAGGAAGAGAAAAAAGAAAACAATGTGACAAATCTTTAAAGAAGGAAATTATAGTTTAGTAAATAGTATAGTTGATATAATTAAGATTAAAGAGATACAGTTAGAATTAGTTAAAGTCAAAGAATATAGTGAGAATAGATGTAATGACTTGGCAAATAAATTAGCAAAGTTAGGTTCTAAAATAGATAATAAGGAGAATATAGTAGAGAAATCTCCCCAAAAGTTGAACATCTCTTTGTATTGGGAAAGCAAAATAGTGGAAGACCCTACAAGACAGTTTATCTAAACAGTTTTTTGTTTTCAAATGAGTTTGGACTGAAAAATATTAGCAGCAATACAAAAAGAAGAACCTGAAAACACATCAGAAATAAACTATTGGCTGATTCTGTAAAAGAAAATTAGAAGCCAGAATGGAAGCAAATGCACTAGTTTAAAGAAGAACCAATGGCTAGAAGTTCTGATCAAGTGTCTACATAAAAGATTACTAGTTCTTAAAATCGTGGCCACTAGAAGACCAGACCTATACAAAAGTCCTTTATATGTAATTTGCGAGAAAAATGAAGAAGAAAACCAAGTTCATCTAACGAAATATAAGAAGTATGAAGAAAGATGGAATAAATTAGAACAAACCATATCAAATATAGCTTGGGTGGTTATATCTACAGAAATGAGAAGTCAACTTAACAAAGTCCAACTCAAGAACATTTTTTGAAGCTTAACAAGAGAGAAAAAAATCAGAACAAGAGCTGGTATTCTCAAGGGTTTAGTTTAGAAAAAAGTCTTTAGAAAACTGCTTGGTATTATGAAACTGGTGAAAGAAGCAAGAAATTACTTGAAGATGGTAGTAAACTTAGTATAGAACTTCTTTTATAAGAACATTTGGAAACAAAGATGTTCAGCTATCAACAAATAGAAAAAAGAAGAAGGTATAGATACCAAAAAGAAAAAAAATAGAAACCGAATACAGAGAGCTTTGGTTTCAACACAAAGCAACTGCATATGACTACAGAGGAGTTTCTCAAGGATCAAGATCAAACCAAGAGAAAGGTTAAGAAAAAAGAAGGAAAAGAGAAAGAGGAAAAAAAAAACAAAAGAAATTAACTTGGTTTGCATCAATAAAAAATTATATTGTAAATAAAACAAAACTATTCTGATATGGTTTTGCAGGCTAGCTTGGTGCAGCCTCCGGTGCAAGCATAAACCTTATCTGGTGAGGCAGACCATTCTTAGATACCTTTAGAGATAGCCAAGAGATGTCAGATATATAGCTTAGATAGTTAATATATGTATATATATGCTTTGATCTAATAAAGATATCGGCGAAGCTGCTGATAAGTTAAAAAAAAAAAAAAACTGTTTTTTTTAACCATATATTATAAAAAAATTTAAAAACTTTAAAAATTAATTTCTCAATAACTATCTTATCAAATTGGGTTAAATTTTTTGTTACTATTATAAAAATTATTAAACTTTATTGTATTAATTTTTATTTGAGGCTGTATTAATTTTTAATTAAATTCAATTATTTTTTTTATTTTTTTTAAAAAAAATTATATTAAATTTTGGCTCTTATCTAAAAAGTTTTCTAGTGATTGAAAATTATCAAAAAAAATACACAACATATATTTATTAAGTACTAACTTTTCTGAAAGTTTCAAGGCTCTAGGATCTCACAGTAAGAAAATATAAATGCAGGGCTATTTTTGTCTGACACTGTAAGTGCAGAGAATTGAAATAGGTAACCCCTAGTTGGGTTGCAGGTATGGCAACTAATGTAAAACCTAATAATAGGCAGACTATTTAATTAGGTGCACAAAAGACATAGGTATAGCTAGATGTACCCTCCAAATATGTATAATAATTGTCCTAACACAATAAAAACACACTTGATCAAAAGATCACCTTAATACCAAAAAAAAATAAAAATAAAAAAATAAAATAAAATAAAAGCCGGGTTGCCAGGTTACTTTTAAAAATAGTTATGAAAACCAATTGTATGGACTTAGGTTATTATTATGCTAACTTCTTTAGGAATTTTGATTATTTTCAATTATAGATCCTACAACCCTAATAAAACTTTATATATACATTTATTCTTTGTAGTTTGTTTTTTTTTTTCATATGAAAATCTTTCTGAGTTACGATCAGTAAGTCAGATCATTAGCATGTCAGTAATGATGACGTAAATTAATTATAGTATTTAAGCATGTTAACGGTTAGAAGAAATAACTCTATTTCTTCCGCGAATCCGATACTTGGTTTGGTTTTGTCTATTCCATTCGCCCCGCCTGAGTGAAAAGTTCTAGTTGACCGTTTAAGTCGATAATTTTCGTGGAATCAAGAGGTAACTAGTTAAATTGTTATTAGATAGCCAGCCGGGACGTCAGTCATAGGATTTTTATAATACGCGCATAATTTTCAAGTATAGTCATGAATTAATGTGACTTGTTGACTACAGTCACAAGGCTAGTTAACAAAAAATTGGGAGTTAACAGAAATTGGGAATTAAAAAAATATATATATATTGCGTGAGATGCTCGATAGCAAAGGGAATAGTGTTTCTATATGATTACGAGAAAATAAGAGACAAAAAGTGTAGCGAAGCGAAAAACCGAAATTCCGGTTTTCATTTTACGTATTAGACTCTAATAAGTAGCCGCATAATAGAGCTAAACCGGCCCAAGCCAATTGAGCTGTAGCTTGAATCATAATCACAAGCTATAAGCTTAGAGTCGCACTTGAGCTGTGGCTTGAGCTTAGATTTGAGTTATAGCTTAGTTATAACTTGGCTTAAGCCGTGGCTCTTAATTGTTATGTGGTTTAATATAGCATTTCCAGCTATTCAAACTACGGCTTGAGCCTATACTTGTTGGCAAAACCCGAACAATTGCCTTTTACAAAAAATGAAATCAAAAAAATATTATACTTAGCTATAAGAACATATATCATTTGTTTAAATAAAGATTATTAATATAGTTTTTGAGATATTAGTTTGACCAGAGTTTGGGATTTGGGTGTGGACAACCTAAACTATAATAGTTTGGGATTTGGGCAACAAGTATACTTGAGCCATGGCTACTAGAGAGCTATGGGCTCAGGTTATGGCTCAAACCACAGCTCCAATGGCATAAGAGTCATGGTTTTAGGAGCCAAGCAAAGTCATCCAAGCAGCTAACAGCCCTACTAATAAGCTTGTTTCTGCAAATAAAATTTCGACAAATCAAGTAATGTGACTCTAGAATATTAAAAAACCTAGCTTGGTTTTTCTTTAAGCAGTGTTATATATTCATTATCTGTTTTAGGACAAATATTATCGACATTGGCATGGCAGATGATGCTGAGAACTTTAATACGTATAAAATTTTAAAAATTTTTTTAGCTATTTTTTTTGGCTATTTTTTTAGAGTTAGGTTAGAATTTAGGGTTAGAGTTAATAATAAAAGAGTATATGTGGACTTTAGTAGAGTTTATATTCTTAAATTGAGACCCCGAATTCTCAGCATTATCCATTCTCAGCATCATCCGCTAAAACCAGCATTTGTGAATTTTCCGAAATCAATTTTATAGAAACGACTTATCAGGCACATGATCCATTAAATAGAATTTATTATAGAATTGATTATAATTCATCAGGAATCTGAGAAGCGAAGCCGGTAAAAACCGAAATTACAGGTTTTAGTTTTGCAGCACTCAAATAATAAACTTTGAAAGTTCAAAATGTGATTTTCCTCGGTTTCACTCATTTATTCGATTAGTCCAAATATCAAACACTGATCTTATTGTGCTAAATTATTTGAACATCAATCTATCGGATAATTAATTAAAATTAAAATTTATATACAATTCAAATTTTTTAAGTATAACGGTAAAGCCTTGTGTAATTTAATTTTAACTAATTCGACTTTTTTGGCAATCTCTATCTTCAATAAACCGCTAAAGAATATCAGCTAAAATTTATATTTCTATTTTTAAGTACAATAATCATGTATTAATAAAGTAGACAAATATTTGGTCAAAAAAACAAACATGGTTAGATCAAATGGATTTTTTTTATTATACTTATACATTTAATCTCGCGACTAACTTTGATTTTTTAAGAAAAAATATAAGTCGTTTTCGTGAAACGTTCTTTAAAAAACATTCAAATGCAGTTGTATAAATCATTTGCCTTGTACATCGTTTTACTACACTTTCCAAAAAAAAAAAAAAGGCATTTACGTGTTTAATTTACAAACTTTACTGTCTTTCATTTATTTTTTTTATTAACGTATTTATCATAAAAATCTAATTCCCACTCTTTTTTTGGAAGAGAAAATAGATTTTTCTTTAATACTGACCGACCCGTCTTTTAGAAGGTGACAAGTAAACAAACTTGCCTTCGCTTTGTTATCTAATATACGAAACAGAGAGTCAACTAAGTGTTACTCAAATGTTGAACTATTAGAATTTTATCCTCATATTAATTTGTTCTAATAAGCAATAGGCAATCACTACCACCATTGACTGGTCTACACATTCATTTAATTACGCTTTATTTCTAAAGACATTATTCCTTACAGTCAACTATATTTTTTTAATCTATTTATTTGCCTTTAAACCCTCTTTATAATCAAACTTAAATAAAATGGTAGACAATATTGATAATAGAGATTATGACAATCTTGGTCCTGATATAGTGGTGTCGTCTCCCTTACGGCAGAGTGTATATAGTAGCAACATACAATCCGCGATGGCTTTAAAAAAACAATTACAAGAACAACTAAACGAAAACGCAAATAAGATTCAAATGACTGCAGAACTAGGCGCCGCACTTGTAAAGCAACAAACCGAATTAGAAAGTCAAATACAAGATCTAGATAAAACTCACGGAGACGAAGTTCCTCAAGAATTAAAAAATAAATTAATAGATCTCGAAAAAACTGCAAGAGCTTTAGATGCAAATGCTGCAAAAGTATTTCTAGGCACTAAAGGACTTACTGAAGTAAGTATCAATTTCGTCTTACAATTATTTAAATTATTTAGTCATGCACGGAGAATTAATTATAAATTTAGCATACCGGCTAGCCTAATCAAACAATTGCATCACGAGAATTTTGCTTAGAGTATTTTGTCTTCGGATTATCATCTGAACTTATTGAATGGAATGCTGCCATACAAGTATGGCTTCTCGTTATGAAAGCGAATCAACTATTCTAACAAGTTTTTGTCTATTAGATAGATCCAGATGAGAATAGTTTAAACGTAACATCTGCCACAACACCTGCTGTAGCAGGATCAAAACTTTCAAGACGTGAACGTAACAACGCAAAAGGTCGACAAAAGGATATAGAATTTGCGACTGAAATAGGGCAAGGCTTGTTGATAGAAGTCAGACGTTTACAAGCTTTACTCCAAGAAAAAGATGAGCGAATAAAAGAACTTGAGATTGACAAATCCGAGTTAGAACGTACTATTGAACAACTTAATAAAACAATAAGAACAAACAAAGAATCTGAAGGTATAAATAATTCAATTATGTTAAAAACATTTATATATCTCAAAAAAATTTCTTGTTTAATATAATTACTTTTATTAGAACGGTTAAATGAACAAATTTGGTCACTTGAACTTACAAGACAGGAGCTTAGTAATCAAATAGAGGAACTTCAGCAACAACTTGTCAGAGCTCGTATTGACTATACAAAAATCGAAAAGGCTCTTTCAACTGCAACTGATGTTATCGAACAGCTTAAAGATAAAGAAGAGAAATTGACAATAAATGTTGAGAATTTGAGGGCTCGTCATGAACAAGATATGGCAAATAATCGTAGACATATCGCTGCACTTAACCGAGAGAAAACTGATCTCTCAAAAACCATTGAAGACTTAGAATCTCAATTGGAATGTTTAGTAAACGCCTCCAGAATTAAGAAGAAACCAGGTGTCGCTTCAAATGATTTATATTATGACGAAAACGGACAAGTTATCAACGATTTAAACGGAACGCATCCAGGGATTCCTATAGCATTACAGAACAAGAATTTGAATGTTGAAGTTGAAACCTTGAAAGCACTTAATGCTGCAAATCGTATGATTGGTAATCTTCGTGCTAATCTTCAAAAAGAAAAGAGTGAAAAATATGAATTAAGGAAACTTTTGGCCGATAGTCAAGAACAAATAGAAGCAATACGTAATGCGGAATTTGATGTCCCCGTTCCTAACAAACGAAGAATTCAACAAAAGACATCGAACATGGGGCTCTCTAATATTATTGAAAATACAGAACTTTCTAGGGACGATGAATTTGGTGAAGACTATCAACATAGAGATGGTTATTCTAGCGAAGAATATACAATTTATAGCGAAGAAGATATCATAAATAAAAGTACTCGTCCATCATCGGATTGGTTTAACACTCGTAGATCAAACACCTTATCTAGAAGTTCTAGAACTAGTCGAATATCTAGTCAAGCATCTTCTTTATTCCAGAAGCGATCTAGAGCTGATGAAAGTATCTCTGATGTCGAAGAAGAAGAAAACGAAGACATGATTGAAACGAAAATATCTGAAGCTCCTAAGATCGACAAAGATATTTCTTGTAAAGATGAAGAAAGTGAAGAAGATACAGTTAAGGCACAAAGAGCTGAAGCGCTTCGGAAATTGGACGAAAACAGTTCGACCAGGTCTCGAATTTCTGTTAATAAACCTGAAACTCTTGAAGATATCTTCGGTAATTATCGCAGAGAGTCGATTGCTCAAAGAAATGAAGACGAAGATGCCAGCACGAATAGAGATAGTAAAGTTGAAAGCGTTCATAGAAACGATATAGAAAATTCAACATATGAAAATATAGAATATAGTGATGAACCTAAAACACCAAAAGATGAAAAAATAGACACATATACTTCTGAGCAAGGTGAAATAATTTTGAATATAGAAAGAGATGATGATGATGATGCTGCTTCATCAGCTGATTCATTTGCTTCAGCAAACGAAACAAACGTTGATTCTAAAAGAGAATCATCGTCATCCAAAAGGGATTCCAAGAGAGGTTCCGATATATCCAAAAGGGACTCCAAGAGAGGATCAGACTTATTTAAAAGTGATTTCAAACGTGTTTCAAGACATGATGTTTCTGTATCGACCTCTGGAGAACCTATTGCACCTATCAAGACATTTAAGGATGCTGAAGTACAAACAGAACCAACAGAACCAGAATTGCAACGAAATTATTCTATTTCCAGCAAATTTACGTTTGGAAATAGAGAGACAATGGTTTTTGAAAATGTTATACATAACCCAAATGAAGACAGTACTTCCACGCACCAGTCAGCTTTATATATACCTGACAACAATAACATTGATAAAAGATTTACTCTTGACCTGAGTTCATCATTGAATAACCAAAGAGATAATAAACCTTCTGCCGACACCAATAAAAATGTTGAAGTTATTGGTTCTCGGGTTAACTCAGATGATCGACCTCATAGCGCCTTGCAAAGTTCGTATAAACATCAAGTCAATAGTTTAGATCCTCCTCCACGCCCTACGTCTGAACCACTACAAACACCAATAACACATATGCAACGTCCTACATACGTAGATTTTGGTCAACAGGCCGGATCACCAAAAGTTCCTCATCCTCTTAACGCTCAGGGACATAGAGGTTCGACTGATTCAAGTAATCATACCAGAGGTGTTAATGATAACAGCATAAAAGATGCAAACTCTGTAACAACTCGTCATCGTCATACAACTAGTTCAGATTCAATCTCATCTGTAAGCAGTAATTCGTCTTCAATTGAACCAGTTAGTCACCAATCAGACTCATCTTATGTAGAACCCAGTGGACCAATGCCCGGACGATCTGGAACTGATCCACGTATTATTCAAGCAATAACTCAAACAATGATTGGTGAATACTTATGGAAATATACGCGACGTAATTTTGGAACTGGCATTTCAGAAAAGCGGCACAAACGATTCTTCTGGGTTCATCCTTATACAAAGACCTTGTATTGGAGTAATAAAGACCCTGGTACTTATGAACCCGTTGATCCAAAGTCAAAGAGCGGAATGTCTTATTTTGGTATGTGCAATATACAATGGTCTAATTTACTATCATACAAACGGTTGTTAAAATGAACAATACTATTTTTTCATTGAATAATACGTGTTATAGCATATATTGAATCTGTTAAACAAGTTGTTGATAATAATCCATCACCCTCCGGCTTGCATCATATGAGTCTGGTCATTAAGACTCCAGAACGAGAATTAAAATTTACAGCTCCATCTAAGGAACGACACGAATATTGGTTCCAGGTTAGTTCAATTTTTATAATTTAATTTTATGGTGAAGATATTTCAATTTGATTATTATATAATAAGACATTCCGCTCTTTGACTTTGGATCAACGGGTTCATAAGTACCAGGGTCTTTATTACTCCAATACAAGGTCTTTGTATAAGGATGAACCCAGAAGAATCGTTTGTGCCGCTTTTCTGAAATGCCAGTTCCAAAATTACGTCGCGTATATTTCCATAAGTATTCACCAATCATTGTTTGAGTTATTGCTTGAATAATACGTGGATCAGTTCCAGATCGTCCGGGCATTGGTCCACTGGGTTCTACATAAGATGAGTCTGATTGGTGACTAACTGGTTCAATTGAAGACGAATTACTGCTTACAGATGAGATTGAATCTGAACTAGTTGTATGACGATGACGAGTTGTTACAGAGTTTGCATCTTTTATGCTGTTATCATTAACACCTCTGGTATGATTACTTGAATCAGTCGAACCTCTATGTCCCTGAGCGTTAAGAGGATGAGGAACTTTTGGTGATCCGGCCTGTTGACCAAAATCTACGTATGTAGGACGTTGCATATGTGTTATTGGTGTTTGTAGTGGTTCAGACGTAGGGCGTGGAGGAGGATCTAAACTATTGACTTGATGTTTATACGAACTTTGCAAGGCGCTATGAGGTCGATCATCTGAGTTAACCCGAGAACCAATAACTTCAACATTTTTATTGGTGTCGGCAGAAGGTTTATTATCTCTTTGGTTATTCAATGATGAACTCAGGTCAAGAGTAAATCTTTTATCAATGTTATTGTTGTCAGGTATATATAAAGCTGACTGGTGCGTGGAAGTACTGTCTTCATTTGGGTTATGTATAACATTTTCAAAAACCATTGTCTCTCTATTTCCAAACGTAAATTTGCTGGAAATAGAATAATTTCGTTGCAATTCTGGTTCTGTTGGTTCTGTTTGTACTTCAGCATCCTTAAATGTCTTGATAGGTGCAATAGGTTCTCCAGAGGTCGATACAGAAACATCATGTCTTGAAACACGTTTGAAATCACTTTTAAATAAGTCTGATCCTCTCTTGGAGTCCCTTTTGGATATATCGGAACCTCTCTTGGAATCCCTTTTGGATGACGATGATTCTCTTTTAGAATCAACGTTTGTTTCGTTTGCTGAAGCAAATGAATCAGCTGATGAAGCAGCATCATCATCATCATCTCTTTCTATATTCAAAATTATTTCACCTTGCTCAGAAGTATATGTGTCTATTTTTTCATCTTTTGGTGTTTTAGGTTCATCACTATATTCTATATTTTCATATGTTGAATTTTCTATATCGTTTCTATGAACGCTTTCAACTTTACTATCTCTATTCGTGCTGGCATCTTCGTCTTCATTTCTTTGAGCAATCGACTCTCTGCGATAATTACCGAAGATATCTTCAAGAGTTTCAGGTTTATTAACAGAAATTCGAGACCTGGTCGAACTGTTTTCGTCCAATTTCCGAAGCGCTTCAGCTCTTTGTGCCTTAACTGTATCTTCTTCACTTTCTTCATCTTTACAAGAAATATCTTTGTCGATCTTAGGAGCTTCAGATATTTTCGTTTCAATCATGTCTTCGTTTTCTTCTTCTTCGACATCAGAGATACTTTCATCAGCTCTAGATCGCTTCTGGAATAAAGAAGATGCTTGACTAGATATTCGACTAGTTCTAGAACTTCTAGATAAGGTGTTTGATCTACGAGTGTTAAACCAATCCGATGATGGACGAGTACTTTTATTTATGATATCTTCTTCGCTATAAATTGTATATTCTTCGCTAGAATAACCATCTCTATGTTGATAGTCTTCACCAAATTCATCGTCCCTAGAAAGTTCTGTATTTTCAATAATATTAGAGAGCCCCATGTTCGATGTCTTTTGTTGAATTCTTCGTTTGTTAGGAACGGGGACATCAAATTCCGCATTACGTATTGCTTCTATTTGTTCTTGACTATCGGCCAAAAGTTTCCTTAATTCATATTTTTCACTCTTTTCTTTTTGAAGATTAGCACGAAGATTACCAATCATACGATTTGCAGCATTAAGTGCTTTCAAGGTTTCAACTTCAACATTCAAATTCTTGTTCTGTAATGCTATAGGAATCCCTGGATGCGTTCCGTTTAAATCGTTGATAACTTGTCCGTTTTCGTCATAATATAAATCATTTGAAGCGACACCTGGTTTCTTCTTAATTCTGGAGGCGTTTACTAAACATTCCAATTGAGATTCTAAGTCTTCAATGGTTTTTGAGAGATCAGTTTTCTCTCGGTTAAGTGCAGCGATATGTCTACGATTATTTGCCATATCTTGTTCATGACGAGCCCTCAAATTCTCAACATTTATTGTCAATTTCTCTTCTTTATCTTTAAGCTGTTCGATAACATCAGTTGCAGTTGAAAGAGCCTTTTCGATTTTTGTATAGTCAATACGAGCTCTGACAAGTTGTTGCTGAAGTTCCTCTATTTGATTACTAAGCTCCTGTCTTGTAAGTTCAAGTGACCAAATTTGTTCATTTAACCGTTCTAATAAAAGTAATTATATTAAACAAGAAATTTTTTTGAGATATATAAATGTTTTTAACATAATTGAATTATTTATACCTTCAGATTCTTTGTTTGTTCTTATTGTTTTATTAAGTTGTTCAATAGTACGTTCTAACTCGGATTTGTCAATCTCAAGTTCTTTTATTCGCTCATCTTTTTCTTGGAGTAAAGCTTGTAAACGTCTGACTTCTATCAACAAGCCTTGCCCTATTTCAGTCGCAAATTCTATATCCTTTTGTCGACCTTTTGCGTTGTTACGTTCACGTCTTGAAAGTTTTGATCCTGCTACAGCAGGTGTTGTGGCAGATGTTACGTTTAAACTATTCTCATCTGGATCTATCTAATAGACAAAAACTTGTTAGAATAGTTGATTCGCTTTCATAACGAGAAGCCATACTTGTATGGCAGCATTCCATTCAATAAGTTCAGATGATAATCCGAAGACAAAATACTCTAAGCAAAATTCTCGTGATGCAATTGTTTGATTAGGCTAGCCGGTATGCTAAATTTATAATTAATTCTCCGTGCATGACTAAATAATTTAAATAATTGTAAGACGAAATTGATACTTACTTCAGTAAGTCCTTTAGTGCCTAGAAATACTTTTGCAGCATTTGCATCTAAAGCTCTTGCAGTTTTTTCGAGATCTATTAATTTATTTTTTAATTCTTGAGGAACTTCGTCTCCGTGAGTTTTATCTAGATCTTGTATTTGACTTTCTAATTCGGTTTGTTGCTTTACAAGTGCGGCGCCTAGTTCTGCAGTCATTTGAATCTTATTTGCGTTTTCGTTTAGTTGTTCTTGTAATTGTTTTTTTAAAGCCATCGCGGATTGTATGTTGCTACTATATACACTCTGCCGTAAGGGAGACGACACCACTATATCAGGACCAAGATTGTCATAATCTCTATTATCAATATTGTCTACCATTTTATTTAAGTTTGATTATAAAGAGGGTTTAAAGGCAAATAAATAGATTAAAAAAATATAGTTGACTGTAAGGAATAATGTCTTTAGAAATAAAGCGTAATTAAATGAATGTGTAGACCAGTCAATGGTGGTAGTGATTGCCTATTGCTTATTAGAACAAATTAATATGAGGATAAAATTCTAATAGTTCAACATTTGAGTAACACTTAGTTGACTCTCTGTTTCGTATATTAGATAACAAAGCGAAGGCAAGTTTGTTTACTTGTCACCTTCTAAAAGACGGGTCGGTCAGTATTAAAGAAAAATCTATTTTCTCTTCCAAAAAAAGAGTGGGAATTAGATTTTTATGATAAATACGTTAATAAAAAAAATAAATGAAAGACAGTAAAGTTTGTAAATTAAACACGTAAATGCCTTTTTTTTTTTTTTGGAAAGTGTAGTAAAACGATGTACAAGGCAAATGATTTATACAACTGCATTTGAATGTTTTTTAAAGAACGTTTCACGAAAACGACTTATATTTTTTCTTAAAAAATCAAAGTTAGTCGCGAGATTAAATGTATAAGTATAATAAAAAAAATCCATTTGATCTAACCATGTTTGTTTTTTTGACCAAATATTTGTCTACTTTATTAATACATGATTATTGTACTTAAAAATAGAAATATAAATTTTAGCTGATATTCTTTAGCGGTTTATTGAAGATAGAGATTGCCAAAAAAGTCGAATTAGTTAAAATTAAATTACACAAGGCTTTACCGTTATACTTAAAAAATTTGAATTGTATATAAATTTTAATTTTAATTAATTATCCGATAGATTGATGTTCAAATAATTTAGCACAATAAGATCAGTGTTTGATATTTGGACTAATCGAATAAATGAGTGAAACCGAGGAAAATCACATTTTGAACTTTCAAAGTTTATTATTTGAGTGCTGCAAAACTAAAACCTGTAATTTCGGTTTTTACCGGCTTCGCTTCTCAGATTCCTGATGAATTATAATCAATTCTATAATAAATTCTATTTAATGGATCATGTGCCTGATAAGTCGTTTCTATAAAATTGATTTCGGAAAATTCACAAATGCTGGTTTTAGCGGATGATGCTGAGAATGGATAATGCTGAGAATTCGGGGTCTCAATTTAAGAATATAAACTCTACTAAAGTCCACATATACTCTTTTATTATTAACTCTAACCCTAAATTCTAACCTAACTCTAAAAAAATAGCCAAAAAAAATAGCTAAAAAAATTTTTAAAATTTTATACGTATTAAAGTTCTCAGCATCATCTGCCATGCCAATGTCGATAATATTT